AGGACTCTGATTGCTGCTTCTCCTTAGAGTAATAGTTGTGTTAGATAGCAGGACTCTGCTTCTTGAATGGCCTGAAGTTGTGTCTGGGGAGGTTTATGTTGGATATTAGGAAAAGGTTCTTCACACAGGGAGTGCTTGGGCACTGAACAGGCTCCCCAGAGAGGGGTCAGAGCACCAGCCTGACAGAATTCAAGGAGCATTCGGTCAATGCTGTCAGGCATTGACTCTTGGGGTATCCTGTGTAGGGCTAGGAGTTGGACTTGCTAATTCTTGTGGGTCCCTTCCAACTCAGCATATTCTGTGATTCTGCAAGTCCTTGGGACTTGACTTCATCATCTGGATGTGCCAGTTCAGGTTGATCACAACACATCTGTTTCCACAGTAAATGAGTCATCTGTTCAATGCATTGTTGTGTTTGTCCCTTTGTCATCATGGTAACTGTTGCAGGCTTTTTACAGAGCCTTATGCTCAGGGCTGATCCCAACCTTTCCTTTGATGCAGTCTTTTACAGGTCAATGATGAAACTATTTTCATGTTTAAAAACCCAAACAAGAGCAAAAAGCTCAGCTCCAAGCCCGATTCTGATCTAGTGAATGTCACAGCTTCCAACTGGAGCATCACATTAAAAAAGGAGTAAAGAGAGCAGCTTTTATTATTTTCATGATGCCTCCTGCTTCCAGCTGCACTAGAGCACTCCCTGTGTGTCTTTCTTCAAGTTCTGCTCACTGAGCTGCTACCCAGTCCCTGCTGTCTCTCTTGCTTCTCTGGTCCACTTTTCATTTTTCTTCATTCCCATTTTGTTTACCTCTTGTTCCACCCTCCCATTTCCCAGTCTCTTTGCCTCTGGCACTCTTAGAACAGCAACGCCCACAGTGCTGATTAATCTCTTAACAAACCTCAGATTCAGTAGCAGGAGTTGGACCTCTACCAGGTTTTGGAGAAGACTCTGACCTTCATCCTGGACTGCCTCAGCCCGACTCAAACATGCCAGAAAGGAGGAGATGCAATTGGTTTAATGCTTTTCATCTGTTAATCTGGATGATTCACTTCAGAACTGTGACAATTTCTGTAACCCTACATTTGAGCAGTCTCTTGTGACACTTCTTATTTTACACACCAGTGTTTACTGGAATGAGAGAATGGAGGACACCAGGACCTCTTCAGGAATGTGCAGAGGTGGACGGTTGCAAACAGTTTTGTTGCACAAAATCTGTGAAATGTGGTCTGAACCTTAGTGAAATAAAATTGAAATATATAATCTTATATTTAATAATAGTGCAAAATCAAATTTTAAGTTGCAGTCAGCAACTTACTCTGTAGGAATATCAGCAATAGGAGCCATATGGAACTTTCATACCAGCTCAGTAATATTTTATCCCCAAGTTCCTTGTTTCACCAGTTCAGCTGGAGAATTCTTAGATAAATGTGCATGCATTCCCTGTGAATAACTATTTCTGGAATCCTAAAACACACTCCTGCTGATCTTTGGCAAGCTGGCAAGTTGTGTTCTGCTCTTCAAAACAGGGTGAAGACTATTTGTGGTCTAGTTTGTCATCTTAAGTTAAGCAAGAGATGAGAACAGGTTGTCCTGAGAGGGTGTGGATGCCCCTTCCCAGGAAGTGCTCAAGGCCAGGTGCCCTGAGCACTCTGATCTGGTGAGTGACATCCCTGCCTATGGCAGGGGGGTTAGAACCCCCCTGATCTTAAGGGCCCTTCCAACCCAAGCCGTTCTATTATTCTAGGAGTTCAATCTCTGATGGTGCTTTTAAGCTGACTGCCTTTACCAAGCAGTCTTCAGTTTGAAGAGGAATTGCCTTAATGTTTTTATTTCTTCAGCATGAGAAATGCAGGGCTGGATGTCAGAGCACTGCTGCTTCTTTCTGACATAAACTGCATGAAAGAAATAACCTACAGCATTTTTAATTTATGGTATTCAATACTGGGATATTTTTATAACTCTGGAACAGAAACTATGGATGCCAGTGAGATGCAAATTTTAAATGAGTATATACTTTCCAAAATTAATTCAGTTTGTGACCTCTGTTGATCCTGACTCAGTGCCAGCTATATTTGAGTTGGTGTCAGCAATATTGATGCCATATTTATCAGGAGCTGAATGACAAGATGAGATGATCACAGTGCTTTTAGGTGGCAATAGTGATTGAGCTGGGTTAGAAGCAGGAAGTGTAGATGCAGGATCAGCATTTCACTCCTCATCCTTAGTGTTCTCCTGCTGCTTAGGCATTTCTCTGTTAGAGTGTCTATTGTCAGGGAGGCCTAGGGAAAGACAGTAAGTCAGACAGATTTCTGACTGATTTTTTATTCACTTTCTCTGATATCTGATGAAAAATCACTGTATCATTTGCTGTGGAGCTGGTTCTCAGGTGTTAGACTGAGTTTTATGCTCCAAGATAGTTATTCCTGTCATGGTAAAAGCTGCTTGGGCAGGGATGTCTTGTTACTAAAACTAAAATGGTTTAACTTCATGGTTTAATAATTCTGGTAATAAGAGAAGTAATAAGTAAGGCAAGAATCACCTACTGAAAAAATATTCTCAGACTTGAATAAAGTAAAAGTTTAGACTGTTTAAACATTTATTTCCTTACATTGAGTTCAAGGAGGGGGTAGTGGTATCAAAACAGCAGAAAACATGGCTAGTTCCTGACAAACAGTACTTAAATTCAAGAATAACTAAGCAGCAAATAGGTCTAGAGATTTTTTTGTCTTTATTATTTATAGTTGTTATCTATGTGGGTTTTGTTTGTTCTGAGAAATTACTTAAATCTGGGTGATTCTTAGCAACATATATTGTGTCCTGGTCTGAACTGGACAAACTGTTTGCTGACCTTGAAGCCTGCAAGGTTTTTCCTCCAAAGATAAGTTTTCCTGCTTCTTGGCATACGCATCAGGAGTACCGTAGAAAAGACTTGAAACTCACAGGAAATATGAAAAGCTGAATGAAAAACAAATAGAGTTAATGTCTTTGTTTAATGCATTTCTAAAATGAAAGTTAGGCTTTCGTATCGTTTCTAAAATGAAAGTTTGCACATTAAGGCTCTCCTCTTCCAAAGTTACTGTTAGAAGAACAAATGTTTAGAGGTATTTGATTAATGACAAATTTTTTATGGAAGCCATGTCTGGAGTTGCCAGGTTTTTTAGCTACTTTGTGCTCTGGCTGGGTCAGATTGACAGAGTTTTATTTTGCTGGGACTGAGTTGAAAGCCCTTTGGAAGTGTTAGGTATCTAATGCACAAGTTCCCTGCAGGTCTCTATGACGACAGCACTGCCTTCTTGGAAAGCCTCTCACAGATACCATGTTCTTCATATTCTCTAGAGTTTTAAGAATTAGTGGATTCTCTTTGTCTCCAAACAAAGCCAACAGCACTAATGCATGTAACAGCTGGGTCTATAACCACCTATTCTGCTTTTTATTTTACTTTACAAACATGAAGTCTGAACAGAATGTTAAGCAGGATGTGAAGTTGATAATTTAGTGACCCAAACAGAGCTCAACATTGTAATGTCAGTGCTTATACATGCTTTGGCCCTCAAGATACACATTTTTCACTCTGTTGGACCAGATGCAGTATCTTTACCTTAGTAATGGGAGGAGGTCTCCCTTTCTTATTCAGCTGTACAAATACACAAAATTACCTGCTTTAAAAGTAAGAGAAAATTTGAATCTTGGCTGTAGGTAATTTAAGGACAAGTTTTACAGATCAAATTTTGCTGTTTGATTTCATTTGGATTGGATTTTACCCGAATGCTTTAAACTTGCCCACCCACAACCACTCCCCCAAATAATTTGTAGGACTCAGGCTTCAGCATAGGTACATAATTCATAGAACATTTGGTAAGAGAGAGCTGTGAATAACTGAAGCAAAGGATGGGGAAATCTAAGCTGTAAAATCCACCTGGATTATGATGAACTGTTCACAGGAACTCTGTGTTCTCTGAAAGTGGTATATAAGAAACAAATGTTAAATATTTTAACTCATGTTATTTAACATGGGTAATGGTAAACCCAAGAATAATTCATAAAAAAGGATTCAGCTTCAGAAAAAAATTTTAGGAAATCCACAAAGTGATGGGAAAGTACATTACCATGACTGTAAAATCTCAAGGTACTGATGGAGAGCTCACACAAGGTTTTAATGCAAAAGCCAGATGCATACCAGAAAGAGAGAGAGACAGAGGATGGACTGGACCTGAGAGAATTTTTTTTCCATTTATTATTTTTCTTATTAAGCACATTGTATGTTTTCCACTAATAGGAAGCCGGTTAGACAAAAGATGCAGCAGTACTACAAGGGCACACAGGGGAGGGAGTTGGAGCAGTGCCCTTCTGCCCCAGGAGAGATCTCTGGCTCTCCTGTAATGGCTGAAATTCTTTCAAACACTCTAAATAATTGCTCCATAAGATGATTAAAAAATCAGGAGAGTTTGCAAGGAAAGGGGTGATGGTGATGTTAGGTAATCAAAGCTGTCAACTGGAAAGACATGGGTATGCCTAAAAAAGAGGAAGGGATTCAATGGAAAGAACAGATCTGTTTTTCTTTGTCAATTGTAGGCACCATGTGTTTAGTTACAGTGCTTTGTAAAACTCCAGTGTGCTAGGACTAAATGTCATGCAGATTTAGGATGGGCACAATCTCTTTAAACTTGCACCATTCACATTTAGGTGGAACTAGGAGAAAGATGAGAATTTTCTCTTTTTAAGTTGCAAGGAGCTCAGTAAGATGACTATTTAAAAAAAATTCATGGATAATATAATTTCAGTGTACTCGATGTCTTCTCAATAGCCATATTTCATATATATTTTTTAATGTGAAAGTCTTTTTTCATGAGTAGGATACAAGGGAAAATATTCAAGGTACAGTTGTTTTCTTGTAAAATTTCACAGATGTAATTCTTATGCAAGCTAAATTCTAACTGTTACCTGCATGGTGTGTTGTTCTTACATCAGGAAAATTGAATTCATGTCTCCTCATGTGTTTCAGGTCAGCAAATTCCACCCTTAGATCCTCATGAAAACAGTAACAATGGAGCAATCAAACTTGGAAGGCAGACTTCACAGACGGGTAGGCGGTGCTGCTGACCCAACTTGATCTTTTTAGATTTACTTGAAAAACAGCATCATTTGCTTTTTTTTTTCACTGAGAAAGGACTTCGTGATCTCAGTGACGTGGCTCCTTATCTTGAAAGCAGTAATTTCAATACTTCCCATGAGCAATAACGCAAGGACCAGAAGCAGAAGGCTTTACTTCAAAGGGATTTTGCAAAACCCAGTTGGAAAATCCTCTCTAATATCCTGTCAAAATTACAATGTCAAAGTACTCCAATTCTCTGTTGAAACCAGTGACTGTTTTGTTGGGTTTTTTTTTATAAAATGATCAGTTTTTAAATAAAATTTAGGTTTGCTGCAAAAACTTATCTTCTTACATTTGCAAAGTAGACTTGGCCTGTTTTTAGAGTTTTCTCTGTAATAATATGGTGAAAAAATCCCATAAAACCTGAATTTTGGCTTACAGTTTCTCTGCCATCTTTTTAGCTGGACTCTGCTTCACGATTTTTCTAAATCTGCAGCTTCATCTCCTACTTTCAGTAAACATCAGCAAGAAGTGGACTGAATTTGCTAACTGAAGGAAAAAAAAAAAGGATCCAAAGGATGATTGAATGCAGTTTTTATGGATTGGAAGTCAAAATCTGTGTCAGGAAGTGCTGTGTATGTGGAAGAAGGAGTTGTCACGAAGGAAACTGCTGGACCCCATACAGTTCCAGTGTGCTTCAGAAAGAAGTGAAAATGCAGCCACTCTGTAGAGTGGAATGATTCCCTGTGCAGGGTGTGGGTTTCAGTAGTTGCTGAAAATGTAAAATGAGCATAAATACAGGTTTAATACCCACTGCTTACCAGGGTTCCTCCAGATCTGTGCCCCAGACCAAAGTTGTCTGTGTTCAACATTGCATATTCCTTGGTTTCTAAGAGAGGCTGCCACAGTGCCCCACTCCTTGTGGTGTCACTGCTGTGCTCCAAGAGGTATTTGAGTTCAAAGAACATTATTTCTGTACAAAAAAACTGCACAAGAGAGCACAATATTATTTGGGGTTAGAGGCTGGAATCTAAAAACAAATGTGAATGTTTGCTTACAGATGTAATTCCCTGAATTTTTGGAGTAATCTTCTCAATTGTGTGGGGATGTGGTGTGGAAGGCACACTATGTGATATCTTTGAAGCGTGATGCACTTGGAAATGCAGTGGAGGAAAGAATTCCTATAGAGGGTTATGAAGTAGAAGTAATGTAAAACTGTATGTGTTTTCAACTTCTGTCTTTTATGAATGTGTGTGACTGGGATGATAAAATCCAAATTTATCTTCTTCATCAATTTCATTGGAAGTGGGAATTAGAGTAAGAAATATTCAAAACCAGAGCCCAGCCTGAATTCCACAACATTAATTTGTTCTCTTATGAGGAAAATTATCACCACTGCACATTTTCAGGAGGGCTTATAAAAGCAAACAAAAGGGAAAAATAACTTCCCACAATAAATCATGAGCAGGCAGCCAAGAGCGTAGTTTCCGTGTTGATACATAGAAAACCAGACCTTATTGGCTGGTTTATTTTGTGAGATTGCTTAGATAAAATGTCACTAATTGTTAGGGCTTGAAACAGAGCCAGATAAAATCAACAGGAACATTTTGTCTCCAGAGGGTTAGGAGTAGCATAGGTGAGAAATATTCCTCTGCATTTTATTTGAGAACCTATGCTGCATCGTTTTTTCACATATAAGTAGTTTCTCCTATATTTTGGCCTCTTTTGAAAACACTCATTCTAGAAAATACAGCCTTGGATTTTTTGGCTAAACTTTCAGTTTTCAGCTGTGCTGATATATGATCCACGTCTCTGTGTTACTGCAGCAAATATTTAACTGATAATCTAGGGTTATTTAAGTGAAAATTCAGTGATCATTGTTGGTAGCAGGGGAGGGAGACGGGCTCCTTTAGGGAACATTTAATTCCATCCCGGTACAAGCAAGTCTGCCAGGGATGCCTGGCTCTTTCACTTGGCTGGGGAGGGAAAAGCTTAACATGGCCTTCAGTGCTAAGGAAATACCAAACTTACCAACATCACAGGTTCATACATTTTATGGGTCCATGACCCAATGCTGGAAGAGATCTGATTCCTCCTATGTAAAACCCAGTAAGAGGCTAGACCAGTTACCCAGAAAAGAAGATGAGATCAAACACGTGTTTCTAGAGGTGCCATAAACTTTAGTTCAATATATAGCAGTTATCCATAATTGATTTTTAAGCTTTTGTAAATCATTGTTGACTATTTTTATTTTTTCTACAATGGCATCTCAAAACTTACTAAATCCTAACTGAGATGTCTGAAAGCTTTTTAAGACAATTTTGTGAGTACCTTGTATACTCTAATTTATGTTAGAAATGGCAATTGATACTGATCTTTATGGGATGTTGTCCTGAACAAGCAGCTCTGACAGCTGGCTTTGAGCAGTATGTGAATCAGAACAGCTTTATGAGTTACATGTTAAAATAGTTTTAAATTGGAAGTTTTTACAATGGATCTCTGACAGATTTTAAAATTTGAATGGTGACTAAAGAGGTTTTGCTTTTGTTAGGGCAAATCTAAATCACTTTATTCTGCTTTTAGTCCAGAAAAATATTTAAATTAATAAGGAATCTGATTGTATAAGTTCTTGAGATTTGGGTTACTGAAAGCTTCATTAGGGAAGTCTGAAGCCAGAATAAAAATAACAGGCCAATGTGCTGTGCAGAGCATCTCACATTTTCTCTGAACACAGGGCTCACTTTTGACAATATTGTTGCCACTCTGCTGTTTGTCAAAGCCAAGGTGCAGCCTCTTCAAATGGGGCAATTGTTTGTTTAAAAAATAGTGATTTAAAAATGTAAATTTAATGATTTCTGCTTCCATTGGTTGCTTGTGTTTCTTGGAAAGTACCACCACAGTCAGAAAAATGTCAGAAAAACCCCCAATTTCAGAGTTGAAAGTTTTAGCAGCAACTGGAATTCCTCTTAGTAGTTTATGGCTGGTGAAAAGCTGAATTACTGTACTGGAGCACCTGACTGTGTAACTGATCTTCTCTAATAATAATAATAATAATAATAATAATAATAATATCAACACTGCAGTTCTTGGTTAGCCAGCTGGTGCTGGATTTGTCCAAGACTGATTTTCTCAAGAGAGCTGGCAGCAGGACTGAGGCACAGGCTGTAGTGCCAAGGATATTGGTGGAGCTTGTTTGCACTGTGACTCAGGACTGTGACTGTCCAGTTGAGGGTGACTTGCTTTTCTGGCTTGTCATGAACAAGTTAAAAAAAAAAATTATGAAGGAACTAGTTTTTGTATATGCTCTGCATATATGTGTGTATATAAAGTACAGTTTTGTATTGTTCTGCTGACATGTAGTGTTTTTTCGCTATGTCTGGTTCTCATATACAACACATTTTATTCTGTAAGTACATTTTTCTGTTAGTGATCATTTCACCTTTATGAACTTAAAGTTGTGGATCAAAGGTAGCAAGAAGATAGAGATATGCATAGGTACAATTTTTGACTTGCCATTCTTGTGCATGAAAATGGCATATTCTAGAAGATGTTTGTCTTTCAGATTGAGAAATCTAAAACCAGCCATTATTTTTCAGGAATTGGAACTTAGAAGTAATAAAGTGATGCTCAAAAAGCTTACTATTTTTGCTCACAGTACAACATGTTATCTAAAGTGCTGCAATGTAATATGAGTCTGTATCAATACCTGAAAAACTTATTTGTCATCCCATGTCTTCTCTAATCCTTCATGGCACATGGGAGTAAGTGTGACTAGATAAGTTACATGTGTGAGCATTCTGGCTGTCATCACACTGTTTCACTACAGTGAAATATTTTACTAACCTACCCTTAATTATTTATACCAGAGTCAGTGATAAATTTCCAGTTTAAAATCACCTGCTAGGTACTCTTCCTCTGTTTTGTTTATATAAGAGCTTTGATTGGGCTGGACCCACTTGCTTCATGTATGGGATGCTGCAATCTGTTAATACTTTACCTTCTGTTTTACATATTAATTGTATCATACCTAATAATATTTTTCCCCCTAAAATGTAGTTTTTGTGGTTTATTTAACCTACAATGATTAACCCTAATAAATGTTTTAAATGGTTCTGAATTGGGACTCCCTCTGGTTTCAATAAAGCAGAACAAAATAGCTTCCATTTTGCATGTCCTTTGCTCTTGAAAAAGGGCTGTCTGCAGTCTGTGGATTACTTGCCTGGGATTTAAATGCTGCTTTAAACGTGTATGGATGGCCTTTTAACAGAAAGTGAATGCATTCCTGGGGGATCCTGCAGTCCAGATGAACTCCCAAAAAACAGAAAAAGAAGATCTGAAAATCCTTTTTCTAAGTTATTTTATTTATCCATTAAAGGAGAGGGACCTGAGTGGCCAGCATCTGCTTAGAAATTTAGAATAGTAGCTGTCAGTAGAAAGTGAGCTCCAGTTACCACTCACTTTGAATAGGAGCAATGACTAGTATGGCTTGTAAGACACTTCATCTTTTGTATGCTTTTATTTTGGTGAACATTTATTTTTTCGCCCTACTTTATGTCCCTCCCTCAGACTTGTGTCTAGAAGAATTAACACTCTCCTCAGAAATGTGCAGATTTTTGCACTGTTTGGTTCATATTTTCACAGTTGTTACAACAACCAGGAGGACTGTGAATGAAGAGCTGGGTTTATTAAGGAAGAGCAGGGTTTTGGAGTAAGACTTTTCTGACTGCCATGATAAATTCAATGCACAGCAGTATGCAGGAAGGAAGGAGTGTCATTCAAATAACAGCACAGAACACCACTTTTCTGTGTAATGAGAAACCATTATTTCAAAAACATTTCATACATGGTGAGTTTAATTACTGCTGGAAGATACACAGGATCTCTTCCTTGCTTTAAAGCAATTAAAATTATCTTGAAAAAATTATGTATCTTACCTCCAGCTGTGCATAAACAAGAAGGAACCCAGGTACATAACTGTAAACTAAAGGGTGTTGTACTTAATTCATGGAAAGCCTAAGCCCTTTAACTATTGTCAGTGTGTTGGAAAATCTGAAGTGAATGTTGTTTGGCCCTTAGGTGTTTGAAGAGAGTTGTGCCCCTGAATGGATCAGTCCTTGTGTTGTCAGTGGGATGTTTTACATGGCTTGGAAGCATGTGCCTGTGGTGCTCTAGGTTAGCTTGAAGTTGAATTCAGCAATGAGAGGGGAGCTATACAATTGACTAGAAAATAAATCTCCTCTGCTT